TAGTGTAGTATCCGCGCTCTAAGCAGGATGGTAATATTAAAAAGACTTATATATCATATTTGAGATTTAAGAAATTAGTAGATAAAAATGCAACATATTTAAAATACAATAAAAAAGTATAGCTAATATATACACTTCCAATTTGTTTTCTGAAGTCATTTGTATTATGTATTGCTTTGCGCGAGATAGGAATAACAAAATAACAGTATTTTAAGATTATAAGTTAAGCATTTACATTCATCAAAAAATCAATTATTTATTAACGATACCCCAGCCCATATGTCTCGTCCTTTACCCGCGTCTCGTCGTAGCCCTTACCCGTATTGTCCCAGCACTTACCCGCATCCCATCACATTCCAACCTTAACGTGCATCTCGTCCCAGTCCTTACTTGTACCGTCCCAGCCCTTACACATTCCGACTCAAGATCATAGCCTAAATCAAAATACAAAATTTATCCGAAGTTTAAACATATTATGTTAGTTTTGGTCGGTTTGTCTATTATTTGATTCTTGGGTGATATATTCAATCAAAACTAACTGAAAGTAACCAAAGTAAATTTATATTTTTGATTGGTCCGTTATGGTAAAGTTAGGTTGGTATGTATTGTTGCTGAATAAAACTGGAGTAATAATTCCATTCAGATTTTAGTGGTACACGGTTAATTTTTTTAAAATAGGTTAATTTTGGTGAGTTGGGTTAATTTCAGTTAGTTCAAATCAGTTAACCAATAGAAATGAGATCCATAATTAGATTTCATGATTAGTTTTGAAGACTCTCTAAAGCCTAATTCAAGCTACCATTGGAGACTAAATTGAGTCGAGAAATTAGTGTAGATTATGTTTGAGATTACGTAAGATCATGATATATGTTAATATTCATGTAATGGATGAGAAGATGGGTAGAGTTCCTAGGGACGATAGCAGGGTCGAAACCCTCTTTCTCGATATTGCTTTGCATGAGGATACTTCTAAGGAAATATCTCATTGTTGTCATCTTCTACCTAATTCTTTTGTCAGTTTCCTCTTATTCTATATATCTCTCTGAGATCGTATTCCTCTTTTTCTCATCTTTTGTCAAGTATTTATAAGTACCTACCTTAGTATCTACCTTGTCATTCTTTGTATTTAATGATTTGAACAAAAGGATATATGTTATTCTTTCACAAAAAAATTACTTTCATCAAAATATTTCTCTAACTTATAAATAGTTATTATTTTCTTTCATCAATAAATCCAACATTTCATTAAAAAAATAAATCTAACACTTAAGTATTCGTATATTGTAGAAACCATAAGATCAAAATGAGCTTTTACATGAGAGCATAGTCGATGTTGAACCCGTCATAGTTCCACTTATGCAGCTTCGATGGATCTCATTTTTCTTGAGATTGTGTTTAATCTGTTCACCAGAAACCATAATATATGTTGCAAGAAAAAAAAGATGGCAAAACTGAAACTAATTTGTGCCATTTATGAAGATTAAAACAAATTTTCAAATGAAATTGTTAACTTAAAATCTATGATAGTGGATAGAGTTTGAAAAAACATTAGAATTGGGCAATGCTTGTCTCTTAACAATAAAACATATTTTGTCTTTATAAAATTTAAAATATTAGTATTTCGATTATTGTTAGTTTTACAATTTACTATACCGAGACTAAACCATGTGAAACACAAATCGGAAAATACACAAACATAAAAAAACAAACTGAAAATCGCATGGTTTCTTATTTTCTTTATCCACCATTGCTCTCTCTCTTTTCTTACTCCTTTCATCTCTTCTTGGACGGAGGAATGTTGCTCAAAATCGAATATGCGAAAGTTATTATTCGCCGTACAATCAAAGTTCTATACTCATAAATGTATCGTATAAAACCAACTTACTTCATAAAGTCCTCTACTTTTAAAGATATCTTATAAATTCAGAGGAATGTTTTGTTTCTTAATATTTC